CCACCCGGCATTGCCATGATTGTGTTAGACAGAGGCTCAAACTCATTGTCCACATGAATGGTCGTGATTTTAAAACCACGAGCCTTGTAGAATCGATATACCTCCTTAACTGCTTCTAGAATGGTCTCTAGTTTCCTGTTGGGCAGGTGTCTAGATGTTGTAAAATCGATTTTACGGCTTAGCGTTAACAGGAACGGAATTCCTGCCACAAAGAAGATGTCCATCGTTAGGAACACATCCTTGTGTAATTGCAAAAAGTCTCTAGGCACTTTCATTGCATTGCCTGCCACTGCGTTCGGTTTCGTTCGAGTGGTCTTGCCTTTTAACGCATCAATATCCTTGCCCCATATAGCTTGTGCCGTATCGATGTCTTCGACGGTCACAGGGCAATTTGCGATTTGATTGCTCATAATCGCCCATCAAAAATCTTTAATCGATGGATAGACGAGTTGCTTATACCGCAGCTTCGCCCTTGATGCGGCTTTAACTTGTCGTTTGCTGAAGCCTTCCTTATTTTCGGCGACATTACTCACAAGTGCCTTCCCTTTTTTCCTAGGGTCATGAACGTGTAATCCTTCACTGTTCATTTCGTATACTACGTCCGGTAGGCCTGGTCTAATGACTGTGTACGTTCCTTTCGGACAGTCGTAGACGATGTTGCAATTCTTGCGGACATTCTTAACAGATAAGATGTTCGTGATTCCTCTTTCATCGAACCATACTCTCTGTTTGTGGCCAGCTAGCTTGGCTGTGTGCTGGACCTTCAGCTTGCCTCCGGTACTCTTCACTGTAATTGGACGATCGGCTTTCCTGATGTCGGTAACCATGTCTTTATTACAGAATAAATCCAACGTGGACTGGTTGTCCAGTAGCTGGATCTCTCTCATATCTATGTCGTCCAATCCTTTTGTGTGGGCGACTATGCCTTGCTTAGTCGGTTTCTTCGTTCCGTCCGCGAACAGCGGTACGTCGAACGTAACGAAACCTTTCTCGACTTTCTCGTCATCTGACTGCGTGATGTCAGAGTCGGCATCATCCTGTTCTTCGTTCAGGGTTGTCAATGCGGTCGTCATTTTATCTTGCAGTTTGCTGATAGTAGCTAAGGTCCTTCTTTGATTGCTACTAGAGCTTTTCTTGCTCGACGTGCTTGACTTGCTACGCTTGCTCGACCTCGACTTGTCGTCGTCATCTTTGTCTTTATCTTTGTCTTTATTTTTGTCAGGACAGTGCGTGGCTGGATGTCCTTTCTCGTGGCAGGAAAAGCATTCTTTCTCTTTCCAGTATTCTTTGTCATAGCTCGCGTTTCCGCGGCCTTTTCCTCTGCCACCACCCCTTCCTCTCCCGCCTTGTGCTGTCTGAGCAAAGGAGCTTCTGTGGGAAGTGGACTGTCGTGGGATGTTACTCTTGGTGTGTTTGTCCAAAAGGTGTAATACCTCATGTAACGTGTGGGGATAGTTGTCAGTGCCTTCGGCAAAGTCGTCCCTCAGGTTCTGTTTAAGCTTGGTATTTTTGGCTGAACTATTTGTTAGGAAAATATAACTATAGTACCGTTCCTCTGCGTATGCCGAGACTGTCCTCTGGTCTGCGACTCCCAGGTCAGCGTATTCTGTGTTTGGGTGGAGTAGTTTAGTCGTATGCAGCAGGGCTGCATCGTGTAGCTTGGAAATACCCACGGATTTTGCAATGTCCCTTTTCGTGGTAAATTGCTCGTGGTATTCGGAAGCGGTAAAGCTCCCTTGGTGGAAATTCATCAGTTGTTTTTCCAGTTGGAATAATGTGTGGTACACAAAATTATCATCGGTCTGGGCCATGATCGTCTTATGGATCATTTTTCGTAGCTCCAGTGGGTCGCATCTTAACAGGACGTCATCAAAGTCCTCGTTCTGCTTCATCTTGTCCTTTAATAGTCGGGTGCACTGCCCTAGGATCAAGTTGAATGCTTTGCCTCTATTTTCTTGTAGTTTTGCCAGCCTCGTAAGGTGGGTCTTCATGAGCCCTCCATACTCTGCTTTCTCGAGTCCCCGGAGTTCCTCTTCCGGTGGGTCGGCTATGGCTGCCGTAAGGTCGGCTATTTCATCAACGAGTTGTGCTTTTTCTATCGTTAGTGTGCGTAAGCTACCGAGAGTCGGGTCATTAGTGACTGCGGCTATCTCTGCTTCCAGTAGCTGTAGGCTTGCTGCGGTTGCCGTTAGGAGACGACGGTTGTTCGCTTCACGTCGTACCTTCGCCGTTTCAAGCCTGTTCCGGGTCTCCGCTGAGTACACCGGTGCTACCAACACTGTCTGTTTCAGGTTGCGTAGTTCATTGCTCATGTCGTCACCCATCTGTTGTCAAATGTAGATGACGATCTTCTCCTATGTGCGTATCATGTGGTCTGCCGTTCCAGATCCAGTTGTACCGAAGTTAAACACATGTTGGTCGAGGGCTTTGCATGAACCTTTCTGCTGGTTCGATGACGATGGGCTGGTCTTTCCAGGCCCTCGTCCTTTGCCGCCTCCTCGGCCACTCTTTCCTTTACCTCTACCGCTCATTGTCTATGCTACGGTAGGTGGACTATTTCAATTCGTTGTTTTTTGATTGACTAGCTCTTTAATTTAAGGTCTCGTCCGACTACTTATTCGTCTTTTGGCTATGGGGCGATAACTTCAAATTATACTCCTGGCTAGGGAGTGTTAAATCTATTTACTAAAGATATTGCAAGGAGGGAACGATTGCTTCACACACTGTGCGGTCGTTGCCACCCTTGTAGCAAGCACACGACTGACCCGAGTCAGCGATTGAGTCCTGACAACGTCGAACACCACCGAAGCTCACGCATTCCCATTCGCTGGTTGATGCCGAGTTGAAGGAGAGGAGCCAATGAAAACCATGAACATGCTCCAGCCACCTCCCGATGAGCCGATCCCTTGACACAGTCATTGACACCACACAAGCTGCATCGAGTCGAGTCGAGTCAATGGATCAGCATGTGTCGCTCTGAGGCCTCTCTGCTGGTTGCACGCTGAGCAAGTCTGTTGCGCTGGTTGACAAACGATATGCCATATTGTTGACCATGCCAGATTTCGGGTATCTGATGGGATCAATGAAGGTTCACAAGGTTTAATCAGCGGTGCTTCTGAAGGATTCGAGGGTTCCGGCCATGTCAATACTGGAGGCCCCCATCGAGCGGCAGGAGTTTGGCACATGCCAAGCATGTGCCGAGGAAGATGACGATGGCGATACTGGGTTGTGGCGTTGGTGTGCTCGGGACTGACTACCAGACACTATCACGACAGGCAGCAATTGCCACAAGATTAGTCAGAGGAAATTTGAGGCAACAACAACAACAACATTCATCGGTGGCAAAAGCTGCATTTATTTTTGCTCGTGACAGCGGTGCTCCTTCGTTTTGTCTGTTTTTGAGGCTTTATCAATGACAGCTAGTATTTGGACCGGAGTAGTGTCCGTGAAACACAACGCCAACAAACAAATTTTGAATGAGTTACAAAGGTGCTCTGACAGTATTCTGGAATGAAAAAATTCAGGGGGAAGCTGTGGAAAGGAAGGGAGGCAGGTTGGGTCGCACAAGTCCCTGTGAACATAAACGCCAACTCAATCAATTTACTTTCAGCGATCTGTGTGTCTTGACAACCGACACTTCACAGAAAACGAAGGGTGGATGAGTGCCCTGCTGGAGAAGCCCTTTCCAACGAAACATCTCTGTGGAATACATGAGGCTCTGAGTTTGTACCATTTTCAGCCATGCATCACTCAAGATGGTCATAGTCGGAATATTCAGATGACTCCTCCTCCGAAGCACTCTTTGATGTCAAGGCCTCTGCGATCTGCGCAGGGGCAATGGGGACAGAAAGTTGCCGAGCACAGGCATGTGTGTTTTGCTGTGCTGAACAAAGGCATGGGCAGTCAGAAAAGGTTGCATGTGATGTAGAAACTGTGGCAGGTGCGTGCAGAGAAGAAGAATTGAGGGGTCGGCCAAGGCTGACGCCTCCATGCAAGCATCCTTTGGCAGCAACAGCGAAGGAAGGTCATGGTTGACCTCGTGGCGCTTTGAATGAGCTCCCATTCTTGCTGGAATCTTCGGTTCGAAGTTATCGTCATCGAAATCCTCAGCAAGCGCCTTGTTGAACGGAAGGACCCAAAGACGCTGCGCATCCCAAAGAGCGCAATCAGCAGACACATCGTACTCTCGGCAGACTGAAAAATAATCTTTGAAACTCTCGACGCCGTCTCGCTCCCCTGGAAATGGTGCAGAACAGGTCATGCCACTTGAACAATAGCTAATGTACGTAAAGTGTTTGTCATATCTAAAATAAATACAATCATCACAGTCTTTCATAAGTTAGTGGGCCCAGCGAACGCATCTGAGGAATCTGAATCTGACATACGTACCTTGGAGACCATAGTCGCGGTTTGGGAAGACCCTCGAGGTCAGATACCAAACAGACTGCCTGGATTCGTTCTGCTTCAGTTTGACGCGACTGGTTTATCAGTGATTGCATAGTAGCCCAGTCGAGTTCACCAGAAGCCAAAAGGCCTACATAGTATGGAGGAATGCTGGCAGGAAGCCCTCCGAATGCTTTGTTTCGAAAGTAAACGTTCTTTGTTCTCCGCCGCCAGCGAGCATCAAACAAGAACTTGAAGAAGCGTTCAATGGCTTGGAATTGAAGGTCGCTGCACTCGAATGAAAAACTGGTTCCATAGAACAGGACACCTTGCCAAATCCTCCGCGCAGGAAAGAAGTGCCGGGAATGATGGAATTGAGAATATCTGTTGTCGATATGACCGCCAGCCGCTGTCCTTCCGGGGATCGCAAGATCTTGTGCATCTTGTCCATTCTGTCGTTGCTTTGGAGCAATGGATAAACAAAGAGCTTTCTCTTGAGTGGCCCATGGACTCCAAATCTGCCAAATGTGGGAACTTTCACGCGGGTTGGCTCCTTCGTTGCTTTCGAAAGCATCTTGTCGATAAGGTCGCTTCTGTTAAGTGGAAGAAGGCGATCACTAAGCACTCCGTACTTGTGAAGCCGGACGCATGCCATCATTGCCAACACCTGTTCCTTTTCCTTCTTCGAGGCACCCCAGTATTGTTTTGGCAGCGTGATTATCCGCAATTGGGAAGGTAAATGTGCCGGGAGGTGGCTGCCGCTCAGTGTAAACAGGCAAAAAGGCAAGCAAAGCTGCTTTGGATGTGCGCGCGATGGGATCACATGGCACTGACAAGATGTACCTGTTGACCAGCGACTTTGCCGTGTTCATGTCAACTGACCCACACATCTCTTTGCTTGAATACTGCCCCAGCTCTACTGACCAAAGCTCATCACAGTCAGAAAGCTTTGCAGGAATACGCATCTCCTCCAGTTGCTTGGGAAGATTGGTCATGACAGTCGGAGGTATCGAAAATATGAACTTGTGGACCCGAACATAGAGCATTTGTGCATCTTCCAGCGAAAGAACAGGGCACGTCTCCGGGTCCTTGAAAACGAAGAACTTGGCACACTTCTGCCTCGCTCGCCCTAGGAAACGCAAAGTTTAGAGTGCAATGAATCATAAGAAGCATGGGCGTCAAGGGACAGGAGCTTACCCTTCATTTGAATGTAACCCTTGGCACTCTTGAGAGAATCGAAGCCAACTACACAACTGCATGCCTGCACGTTCACCCCCTCTTCTACCACCGAAGTGGCAATCAGCACATTGATATCCCCGCGCCGCAAAGAAGACAAGACTTCCCCGATCGCCTTCTCTTGATGGAGCCAAGTTTGGCGAATGCCATCGTCATCATTAGAAGTGAACCTCCGGTGCATATTCAACGACTTGAATATCCCAGTCGAATGCCGGACGAGAGCTTCGCATCGAATAGACTCGTGATCTTTTGAAATGTACCGATTTAGCGACGCCTCGTCACTGTCAGATTCGCTGAACTCGTTGGGCAGGGTCGAGTCCCATAGCCGTTTCTTCAAGTGAATTCAAAGTATCATCCACCTGGGTGGGCGCCATGCTATCATATTTCCCCGACACATCCGGTGCAAATTGGCTGCGATCGTAAGTAAATTGGTCGGAACAGTGCAGGTGGTTGTAGTAAGCCTCCAGCAATTGAATTTTTAAAAGAGCGCACTGAGCCCGAAGAACCATTGGCGTCAAGTGACAGGAGCTTACCCTTCATTTGAATGGAACCCTTGGCACTGCCCAGACTATCAAAGGCAACCACGCAGCTGCACGCCTGGATGTCCACACCACGTTTTTGACCACCAAAGTTGCAATCATCCAGGCTGTTGATATCCCCGCACCGCAAAAAAGACAAGACTTCGTCATCATTAGAAGTGGTCGATGTCTTGGACAAGTCAATTTTCAACACACATCACCCAACCACTCAAGCTGGTTACGTGAATACTGATAGGACTTGTGTCCCACAGGCAAAGGGTTTTGTGAGGGCTTCAGTGATTCAGTTAGGGCCAATGGGTACAATGGGTACGGGGATGTGTGTTCATAATGCTGGACAAATCCACTTGCAACAAGAACAGGTTTCCAACGTGTGGGGTAGACACCGATGTAGAATTCTTGGAGACACCGGTGCGAAACGCTGCGTTCTGCAGTCTTTTTGGGTTGGACGTTTCCCGCAGGGCATCCATTATGAAACAATATTGCATTTCCTCCATGTCTAATATGTATTTGTATACTATTGTGGACGCGGCGGACAGGTTCATCCTCGCGATCAGCCACCGTAACAGTAAATTATTTGTTTTGCAGCACGATTTTCACTATATTCCTTGCAGGAGAAAGATATGATATAGGCATATTTAGCTAGCTTTTCATGACCCCAGCAGGGCAAGTTCCGAAGTGTCGACCCTCTTAGGTGCAGCAGAGCGGAACGGTTGTCCGTGCCGGACTCGCTTCAAAACTTCTCCCGCCACCATACAGTAATCCTGATGACTAGTGATGAGATCGCTCACGTCAACGTTTTCAATCCCCGGTACGTTTACTGGACAGGTCCCACAAACAGGTCTTAACCCCCCAGCAAGACGCTTGAGCTGAAACATCAACGATAGAATCAAGTCCTTGCGTGAATAGCAGTTCACAATCCGCCCTCCAACAATCTGGCGGCAGGCTCGCCATGAGCTCAGACTCAAGTGGTTGGGCAAACCCATCACAATGACATCCTCCACAATAGATGCCGGCTCCCGCGAAGTCCACGAATACTGGTCCTTTTTGTCGCCTGTAGCACCGTCACCCCCGCCCGTTTTGTTGTTTCTGCTGTTCTCCCGAGAAGTCTCCCATTTCTCCTGATATCTGGCAAGCTCTTTCAGACAAGAATAGATTGCACGGGCACCAAAGGAGAACCCCACCAAAGTGACTGGTCGATGCCCGGCTCGGCTGTAGAGCAGACTCCTAGCCAACTCTTTCCCCGCTTCGTCAGCTCGTTCAACTGCTAGAGTCCAAGTACCATCAATCAGGTTGGCGGCGTTGACCATAGCATACGGCAAAGCCACTGCTGAGAGAAGCGTATGTAGAGCCGTCTGACGCAACAATTGTGCCGTGGCTCCATTTATTAGATCAAACGCCATGTCTGCGACGCTATCACAAAGCTCAATCATCATCTCGCTCTCCCACTTGACAGTGTAGAGTTCGCCCCCATACTTTGAATGGTAATCCCAGACGGTGCTGATGTGCTTCGGCGGAACATACAGCTCTTTTGTCTCCCGATCTTCGTCCTTTGAGGTTGTGGATGCCCCCGCCACAACATGCGAGGATGAAACACTTTCGAAACCAGACGACGAGGGACACGGTGAGATGCCAGGAACGTGCATGGCCTCATCCAATAGAGCAGAAACGTTGCGCTTGGCATTGAAATCAAAGTGCCCCTTGCGAAACCCATCCTGCTGCTTTTGCCCTCCCAATGGCCGCCTGAGGCGGTCAAATGCAGTCTCTTTTGGTGGGTTTGCTGTATCAACGCCGTCGTTTGTTGCGATGTAACCGAGTTCAACGAATAGGTCCGTCAAAACCTCTTCTTGTTCCAGTGTCAAGCCCTGATGAAAGTCGGAAGACTCCGTGGAGGCGATCGGATAGAGATGGTCGGGATCTCGTCCGTATTTCTGGCGAAGAAGATCCCACAGCTTCGTTTCTTCCCCTTTCCAGCTTGCTAGGATTTTCTTGCACTTCCCAACGTGATCGGGCCTGTAGACAGAATAGAATCGTTCTAGAAGCTCCAGGCGATTTCTAATTCGTGGATTGGATGGGGCGACACCCCACGGCCTTTGGAAGTCATGCTGGTCACGGAGCCAACCCGAAATGCAAACAGTTGAGAACAACTCCGCCTGGGAGGAAACAGCGGTGTGTGAGCTGTCTTCATGATGGCGCAGTGACGGGGACGACACACTAGCCCATTGACTTACCTGCTCTTCTTCCTTCTCCTCCTTATTGTACACCCTGTCCACCAGTAGCTTATCTTGTCGCCTGAATTCAAACTCAGTCAAACCTTGAGTCCTTCTATTCATCTTGTAGGCTGCAAGACTCCCACCCCCAACCCCAAAGATAGCTGTCACAGCGGGGGTGCTGGATACCAAGGCTGCGACTGCTGCCGTCGCTGCGGTGGATCCCGCAAAGGCTGCCACTCCCGCAGCAATACCTGGCGCCGCCAATCCTCCGGTAACAGCAAAAATGGTGCCAGCGACCAAACCAGCGGATCCGATTTTGAGCCCTCGGACCCATTGCTCTCGTGAGAGAGCCAACGCAGAAGCATCATCTCGTGATCGTCGCTTTCGTTGCTGATTGTTTTGATTGCTTGGGTTTTCTTGGTTCTGTTCGCGTTGCTGCTCTTTTGAGAGACGAATCAATCTCACAGCAATAGAATGCTCCAACGCTTCAAATTTGCGCGTCGCTGCTGCCACCACGTCTTCTTCAGTGCATTTCAGTTTGGACCGGCGAGACGTCTTCTTCGGCTGTGTTGTGTTGTTAGATTTTGGTGGATCCATCGCCATCTCCATCTCCAGATCACGTTCTATCTCCATGTCATGAACCAGCACAATTACTCCCAGCTTTTTGATGACGTGTCGTATTCTAGCATCGTAACCTTCCGAGCTGCAGAGTAGATGCTGTAGCAGCAGCAATGAGAGACACCTATATCCAGCACCTGGACTTAGGGATTCCAAGAAGGGCCGCAGGTGATCCTCCTCGTCCATGTAGCCGGGTATGCTGTCTTTTTTGTCGTCTCTGTCGTTTCCTTGGGTGGATTCTCCCTGCCCCTCTTTCGCGAGGGGTATCCGACGGCTGATTGGTATTGATTTGGATGGCGAGAAATGATATCTGTTGATTCCCTTGTCCTCATCATTCTTGGCTGCCAACGAGGAAGCGACACTTCTGGACGGGCTATTGCTATTGGAAAGGGCCTTGGCAGGGGAAGATTCCACTGCGGTTGATGCGTCGCCGCGGTCAGGGGTTTGGCATTGTTGTTGCTGCCGCTGTATATTCTCCTTTTGGTTCAGTTGTGTGGATTGTTGTCGCAGTCCATCCTCCCTTGCTTTTTGAGAGGCAGACGGTGGCATTAAAACTTGTGCCAGCATGGGTAGAAAGGCTCTTGCTTGACTTTTATCTAGTAACAGCAGCTCTGCAGAAGAGAGCAACAGGCTGGAAAGGACATCATACCTCCGCTTTCGATGTCGGTTGCGTGCCTGGATGCTTTTTCTAATATTCTTCTCTTTCTTGGCTTGGCTCTTCTTGCTTTCTCGCTGTTCAGGATCTAGCATTGAAAAGGATAGATCAATCGATTGTGAAGCATCTGCATACTCAAAGCTGGTGGTGCAGTTGTGTGGTAGTGAATATGGATCCAAATCGTCTTCTACCAGGCTGGAGTCCACAGCAGCTTTTTGTGTCGTTGGGTGATAATTGTCGTCGAGCTCATCTTCAGCCTCGTCACTATCGTGCTCTTGTTCTCTGCGGTTCAAATAGGCATATGATTCAGCTTTATTGGCGTGTTTTTCATCCTCTTCATCGGCAACATCATAATCATGACAGGATGCCAATACCGCTGCGAGGCAACCTACAAATCGCTTTCGATCATCTTCGCCTGGCAACGCCGGAAGGGCTTCTCGTTTTAACGAGTCCAATGTTGGAGCCTCATATTGGGATCTCATGCTGGCATGGCCCTCGTCATCATCATTCTCATCGTCGCTCACATTGGTGCTAGTAGGAGTATACACGCTGTCCAAGACGGACCGTGCCGCAGATTGGATCAGGGATGCTGTATTGATGGTGGTCAAGGATGAGTAGCTGCTCATGGATCCTTCTTCGCATGGCGATTGTGGCTTTCTTCTCGCTACAATCTGATCTGGAACGAGCGGACTGTTTCCTCGAGATTGCAACGGATGAGCCGTCACACGCTCGCGGCGAACTTGCATTTTGGTGTGTGCGGAAGGGTGGTGAACAAAGAGTTGGTCTTCAGAAGCCGTGGCAGTCATGTGTGCTTTACCTCCTTGATTATCCTATTGTAGTCAGGAATTGGTGTGTTGGGTTAGATTTCTTCGATAGTGACGGCTGATTTGGAGACTTGTGTGTCATGGTCTCTTTTTTCTCATTTTGCGTGGACGAAAAAAACTTTAGTCTTGTCATTGCGTGAATGGCTGCCGAGCTGGACACACCCAAATTTAAGTGTTGCAACGCCCGTGCCAATGACACCAGTACAAAGCGCCGTGCAATTGTACCACAGTCTGCATTTCCATGGATACTTCAGTCTCGCGGGAAGCTCGGACGCATTCGTAACCTCGGCGAAAGGTTTTAGTTTCGATGAGCTGGGATCAAGCACTATGTTACACGAAGCTTCCAAGCTGGGGTTGTAGTTCTGTACCGGTATCCGCACCGCCTTTGATCGTTCTCTGGTCATAGTCGCCAAAGCAACGCTTTGCTCTGGCTCTCGGGGCGATCGTTGCACCTACTAGCTAGTATTTATTATTTATCGAGCGAAACTGCTGACTTCCCCCATAGTTATTGGTAGCTAGGCTAGCGCACGGTACATGTAGTGGCTGTCCGGGCATTGCTTCCTCCCAGCATGGCTGGTTGCATGGAACCACGAGCGACTTTGTGGATCGGACGTCTTCGGCCGTGATGGGAGATCTCTAGCTCGGCTTATGTTGCGCACCAGTAGCAGATCCCTCGCAGGAGCGCCGTTTCAACCAGGTTGGGAGAGTCCATCCGCAACTTGCTTCCAGGAGCGGACCTTGCAAGAGTATCGTGGTATCAAGCAACATTGGCAACACGGTGGCGCCACGAACGAAGAGCCAGACCGCACACATTGTGCGAAACGATAAACGGATGGCTACAAATCCGTAGCACAATGCTTGCGAGAGGTAATCGCCGACGGTGATTACGGAGAAAGGATGAAAACCACACTACGTCCTGACAGCTAGCTAGCTACCGGTAGCTGCACCAAAATGCTTAGAAACTGAAAATTAAACTTGACCACACATTGAAACAAGCCTCAGGGATTCAGGTCTTCCAACCGAAGAAAATCCAACGGGCAACCATTCTCATGCGCATATTTCACTACATCCCAGTGCCCATTATGGGCAGCAAATGTGCATGTCTGTTCATCCCACGGACAGCCATTTTCATGGGCATATTTGAAGACTTCCAAATGGGCATGATCAGCAGCTTCCCTGCAGGTTTCTGCATTCCATGGACAGCCATTCTCATGGGCATATCTCAAGATTTCCAAGTGCCCATTTGCTGCTGCCTTTTGGCAAGTGCTTTCATTCCAAGGACATCCATTCTCGTGGGCATACATCACGACATCCAAGTGACCATTTTTGGCGGCATAGCAGCATGTGCCTGCATCCGAAGGACAGCCATTTTCATGTGCATATTTCAGGACTTCCAAGTGTCCGTTTTCAGCAGCTCTTTTGTGTGTATCTGCATTCCAAGGACAGCCATTTTCATGGGCATACTTTAGGATTTCCAAGTGTCCATTTGCAGCAGCACGCTTGCATGTGATTGTGCTCCATGGACAGCCATTTTCATGGGCATACTTTTGGATTTCCAAGTGGCCACTTCCAGCAGCCGCACTGCATGTGCCTTCATCCCATTCACAGCCATTTTCATGGGCATACTTTAGGATTTCCAAGTGGCCACTTCCAGCAGCCACATTGCATGTGCTTTCATCCCATGGACATCCATTTTCATGGGCATATTTCAGGATTTCCATATTGCCATTGAGAGCAGCAGAGTGGCATGTGTCTTCATTCCATGGACAGCCATTCTCATGGGCATACTTCAAGGTTTGCAAGTGGCCACCTTGAGCAGCAGAAGTGCATGTGTTTTCATCCCATGGACATCCATTTACATGGGCATATTTCAGGATTTCCATATTGCCATTGAGAGCGGCAGAGTTGCATGTGTCTTCATCCCATGGACAGCCATTTTCATGGGCATACTTCAGTATTTCCAAGTGGCCACCTTGAGCAGCAGATTGGCATGTGATTTGATCCCACCAACAGCCGTTTTCATGGGCGTATTTCAGGATTTCCATATTGCCATTGAGAGCAGCAGAGTGGCATGTGTCTTCATCCCACGAACAGCCGTTTTCATCGGCATATTTGAGGCATTCCAAATGGCCATTTTCAGCAGCATATTGACAGGTGTTTTCATCCCATGGACAGCCATTTTCATGGGCATACTTGAGGATGTCCAAATGGCCATTTTCAGCAGCATATTGGCAGGTGCTTTCATTCCAATCAAATCCTTTGTCTCGGGCCCACTGAATCACTTGAAGACCGCCCACTTTGGCAGCTGCAGCACATACTTTCCCGCCATTGATATCACCACCAGCATCCACATGATGGTGAGAATACCAGTGCCCAGCACGAGGAACACAGCAGAAAGTTGTGCTGTAGAAAGTATCCGCATAGGTTGCTGGGCGACTCACTTCATAATACTCATTTAAAAATCCCACTTTTGGAGGATTCTCTACAGTTTTACAGTATGCTTTGTAGAGATTCTTCATTTTGTGGCTGACCGGTGCCACAAAGGCAAATTGCCCCATGCCAACAAAGGGGAAGATCTTGTTGATCCAGATGTCTTCATGTTTCAAGCAGGTCTTTTCTTCCTGGGCACGCTTGAGATTGAAATCTGCCTGTTGGACAATTGCATTCACGTGTCCTTGTAGATCCAAGGCAGTGCTAAGTTGCTTCTTTGCCATGGGTACTGTCAGAGAGGGGCTGCTGGTGCTGTTGGACTGGAGCTGCTGTAAGATACAAGAAAGTGCCTCCAGAGCAGCCTTGCCAGATACCTCAATGGAATGGCCATTGTCTGTTCGTATTTTTGCTCGCTTCTGCTGTGGAACTGCTAAGTTGTGGTCTACACCTCTCTTGCTGTTGGCTTCCTCCATCTGATGCTATGCTGTAGCTGGTTGCTTTCTGCCTACTATTAATATCTAGCTGGGGTGGTTCTTAGTGCAGCCGCGTGTTGTGGGGTGTGTGTTTGTGTGTTGGATGAATTTATTGGTTTACTACAGTAGAGTTAGAGACGTGCTACAGAAAGCGTGTTGACTGGCGAGATCCCCACCACTGCAGACCTCTTACCTGTAGACTGCAGACATCGCCAGATCGACGAGTGTGCGACAAAAAATCCCAAACCTTAACTTGCGCGGTACGGCTCCTATCCTGGTATTTGCAAGAAAGATCAGATACCGGTACCTGGTAAACCTTCTTGGGCGAAACGCAACTTCACGTCTGCATGAACACTTTACCAGTTCTTGCCCACTGTTCTGCATCAAGCAACAGGCTTCAATCAATCAAACAAGCAGCTACGGAAGACAAAAGAGGACGAGAGATATCAGAGATTCGATTCAGCGAGACCAATCAAGATGACGGGACATTCAGCAAGATGTTTAGGACGACTGGCGTTGCTTGGTCTGTTTTCGATCTTGCCTCTGGTTCGGGCTCAGGGCCCGTCTTCTCTGGATCTGTTGATGGTGGGCAACTCTTTCAGCAAAGCCCACAACATGGAAGAAATGATTCAGACCATGTTGAACGAACGTAAAATGATCCTCCAGACGACTTCCATTTTTGCGGCCCGGTTCGAAGAAGGAGGGGCCAATTTAACCCACTATGCCTATGCTCCTGCCCTGAAACGCATGATTCACGATCGACCTTGGACTTGGGTTGTGTTACAAGAACAGAGTGAAACCCCGGGGTTTAACGAGATGCAGTCAGCATGGCTAGGCGGCTTTAATGCATCTCGAAAATCCGTCGAGATTTTGAACCGAGAAATCCAAGCCAATGGTGCAACTACTATTTTGTTCGAGACATGGGGGTATTTTGATTTGGATCCCTACAACTCGGGTTATTATCCTGACTACCCCACCATGCAGGACAAAATTTCTCGTGGGTACCAGATTTATTACGATGATATTCTCAAGGATAATGCTACCGCCCACGTGAAAATTGCACCCGCAGGATTGGCGTATCAACGCATTTACAATTCCATTGTTGACAAGGGCAAGGATCCGCACGAGAAGGGATCCTTATTTGAAGAACTCTACATGACTGTGGAAGATCATCCCACTCCCGACAACAATGTTGCACGCAAGTATCCCACACTGGAAGGATCCTATCTCTGCGGATGCGTCCTTTTTCAAACTTTGACTGGCTTGGATGTGAGGCAATCGGGGTATTACCCAACTGGAATGGATGTGAAACTGGCCAAAATCTTGCGCGATGTAGCCTATGACACAGTGGTGGAAATTGAAGGAACGGGAGATGCATCGGGATCCGCCTACGACTATGGCGGTACCCGGCCACCCTATATTCCACAAGACAGTGGCAACAGCAGCACCGGCGGTGGTTCGCCAGCTTGGCGTTGGATGTTGGCAGCGGTTCTCATGGCAGGAGGATTGGGATCGTATTGGATGGCTGGAAAACGGCAACAAAGATCGATGGTGCCTCCTAGCACTCGTGACTATGGATGGAATCCCATATCGCATGAAGATGCCATGGAGTTGACTGATGTTCCCAACTCGGGCGCATCAATGCCACTTGCTTAGGATCGGACACTGTCGATTGCTTAATCGATTGGAAAGATTGAAACAACGTTTAGTGAGACGTGTGTGGAGTGATAATGCACGAAACGATTCGAGTCCCCTCTTCTCATCAGACGCGAGGTTGAGTCAATGTAAAGTAGTATACATACGGTTTCATCGTGTTTCGTTGCTTTTGCTATTCGTTCGACCAAATTGCATAGCGGCAATCGGCTAGTTTGTCAGAAGGATGACAGTGGTCCGCCGGAAGGCTCAATCCGTCTGCTCCCACCTTCGGGGGTGAAGGTCCACACATTTGCGGCAGAATGTCTTACACAAGAACACATCTATCAGACGAGAAGGTTTCCTCGTGTCGGCCCGATTCTGACGTTTGCATTCCGTCCTTCAATAGCTCACCTTGAAGCAAAACACCGGTATCCCCGACAACGTACCAAGTTACTTTTGAGCTGCGAGTAGCCGAGGTGCATTTTGATGCCAGCACTCCACCAGCCCCAAAAATTTAAGAACAAGCAGCCGGAGGCTGATGCCCTCAACTGTCAAAAAGAGATTCATATGCCCTCTGGGTCGTCTCCGTTTCCAGTACTAGTTTAACTTGTCTACTAATACAGGATAATGGTGAATAGAATCGAATGAATCATGTGGCTTATATTTAGTCAACGTGGTTTATGTGAGGTTGTAAAAGTTTTGTGTGATAGTATGTGTTAAGTGGAGGGTTGGCTCGCTTCCGCTGGGAGCTTGGTGTCTTCTTTTTCCTCTGTTTCCCGCTCTTCGTCGAATACCGCACTGTATCCGAATTCCTCAGGACGACAAGGGCCATGTGTACTCTATTTGGCCTCGTGGTCAACTCCCGGCTTCACGTCTTTCGTCCGTTGATTTCACCGAACACAACCTTGGATGCATCGGATTCGGTCGCATGCGGGCCATCACTGGTGCCCGTCGCAACATATTACAGCCACTACGCACGCACACCATCCCCCGCCCCCACCTCTACTCCACCAGTTTGCCTTCAAGCTGCCACACTGGCCCTTCCCCATGGTTTTGCACTACCCCCCGGCATGAACTTTGAGGGCCTTCTTGGGAACTCTTCTCGAAAAGCACCAGCAGGAGAACGGTGGTAAGTCTCCTACAGTTGCTTCCCGTATAAATCCCCCGTGCCCTCACTTTCAAATCCTAATACTGGACCTCCCAATATTATCGCAAACCATTCCCAGTTCAATGCAACCAAATACGTATCTCCCGTCCACCTTTCCACGAACCACGTCGGCCAAAGTGTCACCTGCGAATAGTCAAAATGATGACACTCCACATGGTATGAAGAAAGCTGCCGAACTTGCTCACGATCCTATTCCGAATACCCCAGTTC